AGTAGACGTATACACGTTACAGCTGTATTTTTCTTGCTCCGTAATTGTCAAGTCGCGAAAGATTCTCTACTAAGACGGTTTTTGTTATCGACTGTAACCTGTAATTATAAGTTTTTTGTTCATTATTATAAACAATCTAAGCACTCATCACTACCGGGACTGAGCAACATGAGAATCATGTTGTTAGTGGTATTTGCTACGGTTTTTACGACCAGCCAGATCCGGAATAATCATCTGTGGCTCACGCAAATTCTTCGCGAGTTGGAATGGAACCCACAACCCATCCCATTCAATCGTAACTTAATTAAATTCAATCGACCATTTTATGGTAGACAAACAATTTTCAGATAAAATAACATAAAGGCTCTCCCAGACTCAATTCTGCTTAACTCCCCCATGCCGAATTCGGCAAACAGATCGATTGCGTTGAACTTTAAGGTGCTTTATTGCAATAAGATATATCTATATCCCAGACAGACGAGAACTATGACCCATCCATAACAATAATGAAATTAACTTATTCAACTTTAAAATAATTTTAATTTAATTTTTTTTTATAGTGCTAATCTCTGCATTTAAGAGTGAACATTAAAATCCTAAAACAATGTACATAAAAGGCGTTAAGATTTTCGTCTGTTAGATAATCAGCCGTTTAGCTTAGTGGCTAAAGCGTCAGGCCGCAAATGTCGAAGACGTGGGTTCGATTCCCACAGCGGCGGCAATCTTTTCGTAATTTTTCTACAAATTTCAATAATTTTAATTCCATTACTTTCATACGATAAAAAGTTTTATAATTTTTATTTACTGTTAGGATCGCAAACGAAGCTATTGCCTCTATCTTGGGGTCCGGAGTTATTGGAATCTAGTAAGTGATTTGTTTGGAAAGTATAACAAAAATATTTCTGTTATTAATAGGACTGACAGACTAGTAGCTTTCTAAAATCGGCCCTTGTTTTTAATTAAAGTCGAAAAAGGTAGTCTTTTTAGGTCGTTTCCTGATATAAAGTCAAAATCATTATTTTCTTAATTAGGTCCCTTTAATTCTAAAGGTGATTATGATTAAAATTGATCTGATCGTTTCTGTACGAAATAAATGGGTATGATATTACTAAAAGTTTATAATTTATTATTCACTATCTTTGTAGCCCATTATTGATTTTCAAAATTATAGAACTACCGGGAAGAAACACGTATCGAATGTAATAAAACGGCCAAATAGGTTCACAATTACGTATATAAACATGTACAAAGAAATAGAAATCACAATAAATTATTTTATTTATTTCATAAGTATGTACATAATGTTATTTACACAACTAATAATATATTAATATATATGCTATATATATATATATATATATATATATATATATATATATATATAGCATATGTATATAGACCTTGAAATGCAAAGTAATAATACAAATAAAACTTCTCACGAGTTTTATCGCCTTTAACGTATAACAAAATTCATGGGTTTTAAAGTCCGTTGACGTCTTAAAACCAATTTACTATGTATTATTGAAATTATATTCTTTACCTTTCGAGTTTCTTTAATTTACAAATCCAATAACACCTCGAATATGCTGTGTATAGAAAAACAACCCATACGAACATAAATCTGAAGCGATTGGATTCTCAAAATCATCCTTTCCAGTTTATTCCTTCTTTATTCTTCCTTCTGATATAAACGAAATAAATTATTCGCTTCGGAGGATTGTTATATATTCGTAATAATATAAAACGTTGTTTTCAGACTGCTGATAAAAAAAAATATAAATAAGGATTCTTTAAATTGAAGTCTACGACTAATAAACTTAAACGGACGATACAGATTTTCTACCCATGATACAAAGAACAAATACAAAAATACATGCATACTAAATTTACTTTTCGCCAGTAGAATCGCCTTATCTCCTGCAGTCCATAGCAACTTCTTGCTCTTATTAGCATTGTTACTTACTATTATTACATTATTTTTATTATTTTACTACAATTTTAGGTCTGATCACTTTTTCCATTTCTAGCAAGTGCCCACAGAAACTTGGTGCTTCGGGCTGAACAATTTCTCGCGATAAAATTGTCAAATATGAAATAGTGTCCAGTCAGGCAAGGTCTCCTCCCAATAGAACATTCATAAACCTTTATTCTTGGCCCCAGAGAAAATACTTCCTATTTTTCCATGGGCCATTTACTCCGACGATTGTCTTATTAATTCTAAATTGTACTTACATCATGATTATAAAATAACACGTTTTTATACTCTAGTTAATTATTATGTACTTTCAAATGTTTATATTGCTGATATGACGAAACAAGTAAATAAAATTGTTAATAAATTTTAAACATATACACTGTTTTCATTTAACATATTCACGTCAAATTATGACCGAACATAAATCATCTTTAATATAAAATTTTAATTTGTGTTGAAAAAATTAAACAAGTTATGGTGCTAACTTTACCGTATGTATGCAGGGTTCTAACAGTTTTAAAACGCAGAAATACAAATCGTACAAAACACACAATTAAATCTCTGATTCTAAATTTGGTAAATGTAAATAACTTTAACTCCGGCGTAATTCAAATCAAATAAATTTTAAACGATACAGATAAATTTCTCGAAAACTATAAGCGACCGCCGAATTCTGCTTGTTGATAAATTCATAAGAGATTTTTCTGTATCGTTTAAAATTTATTTGATTTGAATTACGCCGGAGTTAAAGTTATTTACATTTACTAAGTGCTTCGTCGTATTTTACTCTACAGGCTAAAACGTCCGAAAGCAAGGCAAATAAGACAAAAGTCAACGTCAAATTGACATTTAAAATGCGACGTAAAAGTCAGCCGTTCGCGCTAATGCGAGACCATTTTTAAACAACGAAACAATGCAATCAGACTAAATTATTATGGTCTTCGAGTTTCGAGAGAGACCGATATCGTGTTCTGCTACGCGTAGGCCCACGTGTCGTCTTTGTATTAATTATATTGTCTGTTTTTGTATTAATTATATTGTCTGTCTTTGTATTAATTATAGTAACTGACTACATTGTTTGAACTGAATAAAATTTTTAAATGCATTTTGATATTATTCAGACTTCATTGATTTGTATTTTAACACATTCTCACGACAGAGTTTGTGTCGAGTAGTCGATGGTTAATGTTTTTTCTAGACTACAGCGTCCTCTACCAAAGAGCATAGAGCAAGGTACTGGCCAGGTAGGGCGAATGTAAAATTAATAATATTTTTCACTCAAAGGATGTCTGAAATTTGCCGATACATTGCGACGACCAAAAAATGCATTCGTCGCAATTATTTTTATTGCTTCTTTACACTTTATTCGGTAGCGGTATTCCCGAACCGATCCACATTAGGTACATCCTAAATAACCAGTTTCCTTAAAAGCCGTCAAAGTATATAAATTATGGTTTACACCCATAAGCGACGATTGTTACATGAGTCGCTTGCTCCTTTCATCCAAAAAGGGCATAAATATCCGGATACAGACTTGATAAAAATTCTCACTATTACTCTATTAACATTCATGTCTTATATTTACATAACCTTCTATTAATACATCAATAGAATAATTTGAATATCTAATAGAATGATTTTTACCGTACCTTCGTATAGTAGTTACTCGCCGAATCGAATTTGGGAAAGAGTTAATTTTAGTTTCGTATAGCGTTATCTCCACCACACACCATCTATCACCCTTTTACAGATATAACGCTCTACGGAGATGAAATAAGCTGACACTCTCAGTCAATATGTCGATGTGAAATATTTCTGGGCGAGTACTATCCATATAAATCGAAATAAACCATTTCATAATGGAAGATTATACACGCGGTACAAAAGCATAGTCACATTTTGACTCAACGAAAATTTGACCATGTCGATGTTTCATGACCATAAAGGAATGTCCGATAATAGGTGAGGTTGTAACTTAAAACACCTCCGAGCTTCCGTCTTCTAGACAAGTTCAGCATTCAACATTGGCAGAAATATAGTCAAACTGGCAACATAGAGCCACCTTTGAAGTCTTTTTCGCTAAAAACGAGAACTTTATTTCGCAATAGAAAAAAATCATAGTTCTAACACTTGTTAATAAATATATTATGTAAAAACGGAAACAGATAAAAAAATAACACGTTTCGTGCGCAAATGTCACAGTCATTTACAATTTATCACAACGTATGTTAACACAACGCTATACTAATTTCTTTTAGAGAAATTCAAAGATGCCATACTAATTGGGAAGAATTAAAATTTAAGTACATAAAATTTCAATTATATACACTATATACACTTAAGCTAATGGAATTTATAAACTTAATGCTTATAATATGTGTAGATTCGTAATATGATAATTTTAAATTGAAAATTATTTATTTATATTTAATTTCAACTATCGAAGCAATAAGAAAATACAAAATCGTTTTCCTTTATCAAAACTCCATTACATAATCTTTGTAAAATGTATAAATATATACAAAATGTACATGGAAAATTCCATTGTGAGATATATTCACGCATAGTAATATAACAGTTCAAATGTCCCATTTCGTTCTTCTTCTTCTTTGAAAAACAATAGTTTTAAAATTATAAGTTAAATTATTTACAATTTGCTAGATATAAAATTATTTAGTCATTATATTCTTCTCAATATTATATTTACAGATACACATATATACATTCGCTGTTAATCCACGTGCGTTTTTATTCGAGTCGAAGTCAAACAATCTATAGTTTGCTGTTAATAACACAATACATTAAGGCAGAGGTCCGAAAGTATGCTGTTCAATTATCTATGTCTATACACGGTTGAAAACAATGTTCGTAGTCGCCTACGCGACCGTGCGGTAAGTAAAAAAACCCAGTGTCTATTGCGAGCCACTGTTATGAGTCCAGAGTGCGCAGGAGGGTAAACCTTGCAGATACCGCCGTTCGACGTCTGAACGCGTTTAATATGTTGGCACCAAGCTAAGCACTGTCACACCGATCGGCTGATATTGTCGCGTTCCCTGGTCAAAACCGAAAGGACGGAGCAAATCAGCAACTCGTAGCTTCCGATGTAGCGATTACGCGGTGCGAGGAACCGTAGCTGCGGCGCGGAGGCATCGCGTAGGCGTACGTCGCGTCGTAGAGCTACGCGGTGTCGTAGTCGGGCTGGTGTGGCTCGGGCGCGGGCAGGTGCACGGTGGCGCAGAGGCGGCCGCGGCGCGCCACCGGGTAGTGCCACGAGGGCGGCGCGCGCGCTGCCGCCGAGCTGGGCGAGGGGGGCGCGGAGGGCGAGGTGTGCTAGAGCAGGGCGCGGGCCGCGCTGCTGGGCGGGCGGCGGGGGCGGCGCGGCAGGCGGGAGGGGCGCCTCGGCCCCCTCGCCCCCTCCAGCCCCGCGACCCCCGCCCCCAGCACCCCCGCTGCCCGTGCGCGTGCCCCCCGCGCCGGGGCGCGACGTCAGCGGGGCGTAGCGCCCGCCCACCAGCGCAGGCACGCGGCGTCCACGCAGCGCACGCGCTCCGCACGGCGGGTGACCTCCTCGAGCACCTCCTGCCCGCCACGGTTACCCCCGGTAATGGTCAGGTGCGAGGTGTGAAACGCCGGTTCAGTTGACGATAGACAAGTTAAAACATTCATGTTGCAGCAATTGTTTCAAGTAAAAAATTGTAGTCATAGGCCATGGTCAGCAAAACCTTTGATATCTTCTCGTAATGTTTGCTTTTACCATCGGAAATGCTGGTTTAGGACTTGTGAAAAACCACCACCACCCATGGGAAACGAAACGCTTATCTAGCCCACATTGAACACGTAGGTTAACCATTTACAGGGATGTTGTCGCTTACACTCAAGAGGTAAAAATAAATAAACAATAATGGAATCATAACCAAGGAATGACTTATGGAAAAGTTACAACTGATTGTGAAGCATATTAATGATATCAATTTAATGCATATTCAAATACACATTTGAAATACATGTTTATATATAAGAATATAACATGAGAAACAACAATTATTATAACATCATTTATAAAAATACTCATAAATAAATAACGGACCTGCTTCTTCAAAACAATATGTTTCCCCTTCCAATATTTCATCAGTCCTCGCTCCTGCAGCGTAGACACGATATCTGACGACGCTATTGCCAAGTCCTTACTAAGATCTCTGATGCAAAGTGTGGGTCCGGCGGCTGTGCATAGCCTCTTCAACAACGCTTCCTTCCAGTACGACCGATAAGATATCAGACCGAGATCTGACAGGGGTGTCTCAGGGGAGCCGACTTTGCCCTCCACTTTTGTCAGCAGATAACCTGTATAAAATTGAAAAAATTCGATGTATCATAAATGTGTTACATTTTAGAGAACACCTTCTTCATTCTTACGACCGCACACAAAGAGGATAAATTGAGCTTACTTATTTGTTTAACGTCTACGACGATAAGTGCAAAATTTAAGTGTAAATAAGAGCAAATTTGGGTCTTCTCACGAGGGTCAAAAAATTTAGCTTTAAAACTGTACATTATCCTGATATACCTACCAACATATTACAGTTCAACTTAACATCAGCGAGAGAAACATACCTGACATAACTCGAAAATCTAATTATGCCAAATAAACATCTTAACTAAACAGTTGAATTTCTCGCAAACTGACAGATTGACAAACAAGCAATGTAGTGAGATAGCTCCGTTTGCCTGAGGCGACGGATCTGTCAAATTTTTCATACAAATATACGCTCGATGTGCTCGTAAAAAGTGGTTTGGGACCATCTTGATATTAAATAGATATGAGTTGATATTGCTTCGGTGATTAATTTGGCCGTAAGATTTATTGAAATAATGACACGACAAGCGATCTCTGTTAGTATATGTATGTTATTATATAATATGTAATGATGTATTAAAACAAATAAAAATCACGTTAATGTGACCTTAGTGAAAATATACAAGTAATTTGAAGATAAGCCTATTATACTAAATCGAGGACGCACTAGCAAATCCTTTTGATATAAATAGATGAAAACTAAAAATATACCATCGAAATAAATAATCATACTAGCTAGTTTTACGTTACATCACAAACACTACGAGGGACTGAGATTTGAATAAACAATAACTCTACCCACCGGAGACATCGTGTCGAAATCGATGTACTCGTTACAAGTCCGATTTAAAGCTCGCGGTACAATGCAATTAAACAATAGTTCTCTCTTAACGTTCTGTACAAATAAACGGAATAAGACATCTCTACTGCAAATCCCGGAGGATAGGATATTGTTTTCCCAGGATTTGTGAGAAAAGCGCACCTGCATCATTGCTATTTCAGAGAGAAGTTACAAGATTAAACCGTTGCTAAAAATAAATAAATAGTGACTAAGGCAATAAATGTAAGCTCACTGAACTTGTTTTGCCATAAAATGTTTCAGACATCTTAAAATGTAATACAACTGGTATATATCCAAATAATTAAACGACCTTTTACTAAAACTGCTCGTCGTTTTAAAGGCAATTTAACGACGACCTATTTGGCGTGGTGGGTTGTGCACCTGCCTCTTGCGCCAGAGGGTGTGGGTTCGATCCCCACTACTGGAAAAATATTGTGTGATGAACATGGTGTTTTTCCAGTGTCTGGGTGTTTATATATTTATAATATGTATTTATTTACAAAAGAAAAGTATGTTTAAGTATGTTTATCAGTTATCTAGTAGCCATAGTACAGGCGTTGCTTAGTTTGAGACTAGAGAACGTTGTGTAAAAATCTGTCCTAAAATGTTTATTTATTTATTTATTTATTAAAATATCCTAAAGTGTTAATTATCCATACCACCTCTTTTGTAGCATCTTTTGTTCAATATGTCAATTATCAAATAGCCGAGCATTAAATGTTGCCAATACAATCGACTAAACTTCATTAGTTGATCCCTGCCAATGTAGAGGGTGTAGTTTAATCTTGGATGGATGGTCACAAAGTACTATGGTACTATGCTCTATGATCCAAGCAGTGTCTCCCAACGGTTTGCCCTTAAGATGAACAAGGACAAGACGAATATCATGTCTAATGTCCATGTCACGCCTATATCGGTTATTGATGGATACTGAACAGGGTGCGGTCTAAATTAAGGAACACGGTTTTATGTAAAACTGGACGTTTATTCGCAAACTTGAAAAATAAATACAACCGTTCGATTTTTAAATTGCGTAACGTATGTTCTCGTATGTGTACACAACAAAAGCGGACGAACAGAGAGCTCAGGCGTCACTGCCCGCCTAATATATAGGTGGGGAGGATGATGCAATAACTATCTTCTCTTACATCTACCTTACAAATTTTTATAATAATTAAATATGATATTTTACGAACTACCTTCTACTATACATTATTAGTAATTCATATAAGTAAATATTAACAATAAATAATTTAAGGAAATAAAATTAATACACGAAATCAAATTAAGAATGTTAACAAAAATTTACATTATAATATTTGCGTGGCCAACGGATACTATGATGAAACATTACGATGACCCTTCTACTCTACCATTTACTGAAATATCCTTACAAATATTATAAACGCGAAAGTTTGTATGTATGGATAGATGTTACTCTTTCACGCAAAAACTACTGAATAGATTTTAATGAAACTTTACAATGATGTAGCTTATACGTCAGAATAAGACAGGCTATAATTTATATATATATTTTTATGTACACATGTCTTTCTGGCAGAATGTTACGCCTTCAGCCTATTCTACGCGGACGTAGTCGCGGACTGCAGCTAATTGCATAATAATCCTGTAACCATAGACTCGTCTAAGTTCTTGAAAAGTCGATAATTAAAAGCCATATTTAAACGCGAAAGACCGTAAATTAAGTTTATCCAACAATCTAAAAATAACTCCTTTAATATGTATTTAAAACTTAGAGAATTATCTCTAAAGTCTTATCTATGTCACCGTCAATATGGTATTGATTCGCAATAAAATAGCCGGAACGAGAAATATGCTTGAGACATATATACTATAAACATCCGAGACAATACGGAGAATAATACATGTTATGTATTCAGATTTGCGATGACAGACATAGACCAATCCATAGCATCCGCTGAAGGGTTTATTTAAAAGATGTTTTAAACTTAAACGCTTTTATTTTTATTTTTAATATCACGGCTCAGGCTTTCATATTTAAAAAAGGCTACCGGTGTACTAAGAAAAGCTAGATCAATTATATAGGGATGTTGTATAAAACGTTAAAACTTTTTAATTTCCTTCTTTTCATTGATATCTTTAAAATTTGTAAATAGTCAATAATATTTTTAAATTAATTACTCTCACCGATGCTCCGATGACGTTATTAGGAGTTATATGTAGATTGTTAGATAAACTTAATATACCGACTTTTTCGCTTTTAAATATGGCTTTAAAGTTTCGACCTTTCAAACACTTTACAGAGTCCATGGTCACGGTATAGTCTGTTATTCTGGGGCACCGTAATTTTTTCATAATTTATTTTGACCGAGTAATTATTCGCACGAACACGAGAAATCAAACAGAAGTTATCGAAATCAACCCAGACCGTTAGGTTGCGATGTGAGCGTGGTTGAACCGAATCGATGATTAATTTGCACCGCATAATTTCTTCCCGGTAACGGAGAGAGAACAAAGGACACGTACACGCTACAACTGAATATCAAACGGTGCCCAACGAGCCGACGAATAGATAGTTAACAATTTCCACATGTCCAATTACCGACGGCTAGAGCGTCGCCGAAACAAATAATTAACTCGCCCATCAAAATTCCCCGCATCTAGAATTCGTCCGTTAAGTCCCGCACCCCCCGCCGCCCCAGAGCCCCCCGATTCGGGGGGAGTCTAGACGGCAGACCGATCTATACTGCAGTACATCGATCGGGGTCGACGTCCGCCGCGTCGCGACGCGCCACCCCCACGCGCGGGGGCAAAACAAACCACCCCCCGGCTACGATGTTGACCGCTCAGGTGGGCCGACTGTCGGTCGTTGGGAAGTGAGACGGTGACCGTCATTTTCACACGCGCGACCCGAGACAATGCTCTCACCAGTTGGTCGAGGATTTTGGAGCGTAGCGTGTGAAAAAGGTTTACGTTGGCTTTTGTTGCTTTCTTTCAAGGCTCAGCAACTAAAGGCTATTTATTAGCTGACAACGGGTATAAGATGTGAAAGGAACAAAACAAAGAAGAGAACCTCTTCTATTGCCTTCTTCTTCTATTGCCTTCTATGTTGGCAACGCAACGGCTACACTTTATTAGTTGGTACAGGTACCAAGTCCGTCAAGTGGAGGTAGGGTAGTTAGGTCTGTAGGTATGGATGGTCGAAGTGACGATCGAAGTGAGGTGAAGTGAAAAACATAAACCTCGTGATATAAGAAAATGAAATATTCGTGTTGACAGGTACCAGAGATAGGTCATTGAAAATAGAAGCGCGCTGAAAGTCTCGCGCGCGGAGAAATCTAATTTCAGATGAGTTTCTGACCGAATTCAGTCGAATTCTGTGAAAATTTTGTAGCTATGACACAAGCGGAAAATTTGCATAATTATCAACAAGAACAGCACCGGCAAACGTCTCTATTGATACGGTCGAGTTATTTTTTGAGAAAGGCGAAGAAAGGAAACCAATAATACGATTTTTCAGGACAATAAGACTAAACAGTAAATGCATATTTAAAAAAAAAATATTCCCTATATTTAATGAGCATCTTTATTCTTTAAAGATACTTATGCGTTATCATATTTTCAAAAAGGTTGTCAACGCATCTGGAACTCTCGGGTGTAGCAGATGTCCAAAGGCGGCGGTATTAACTTAACAACTTAACATCAGGAAAATTAAAAAAAATATGAATATGAATGTTTTAATAATGATAATGATCCATATCAAACATACATTTTCAACGAGTTTCGATAGAGAAAATTCTGAACCAACTGCGCCGCCGCTCCCTCATCTTTTATCTTTTTTGCACATTCATTCTATGTTAAAAGTTGGCAAAGAAGATGTTTACTGATATCAGTATTTTAGATGTCCATGCGGCGGATATCCGCCGCATGGACATCTAAAATACCTTACGCTTTGCATATGCGTTGAAAACATCAAAAAAGTAAGCCCCGTTTACCTCACTCATCAGACGAATCGCGTTAAAATAATATACAGTACCTTTTTTAACGCAAAAAATAGGAAGAGATTACAATTCGGTAGCTTTTTGATACCACAGAACCCCGTCATTTGAGAAACACATTTTACAAAATGATTTTTGCGTCGGGTTGAGTTTAGCTTGGAACTTCAAAGATACGTCAGGCAACTCCTAGAGATATTTAAAGTCAGTTTTATTTTTGTTAATCAAATTGTTCCCTTTGGTTTGTCTTTTTTTTTTGTTTACTTGCCATTGAGCAACTTTGGTTTTATAAAGAAAAAAAAAAACAATTTAATTTCAATTACTTTTATGATGGAATTCCGACCAGTGAATGTATTATTAAAATTAAAAAGTACAAGCTTACAAAAGCTTTCGTCTGACATCGCAACATTAATGGTATGCTATGCATTAATAGTTATTCCATAGCGCCCATAATAACAAAGCGTAAAACTACAAAGGTTCCACCTTACTTAAACGTCAAAGACATAGTTTAATAGCATCAAAGAATAGGCAGCCTAAGGTAAGACGTTTCAGCGACCCCTTGGGGAGGCTGGGGTGTTTTGTTGTGCGGGCGCGGATTGTCGTCTCGTCTAGACGACGATATCGAATGATCAACTTGCCCGCGCTCACTCTCCAAACAGATCGCGGGATAATTAAATGGACCTCTCTAATATAACAAACGGTATAAAATACAGTCGGGTGCACAACTTAAAAATCTCTTTGTTACAACTACAAGTTCAGCTAAATGGAAACAAAGAGAGATGCTGATGTTAAATAATTTATAAATTAGGTTTAAAAATTGTGGTATCCCATTAGAAAATTGAAAAAAAAAATGTAATAGCTGTACCTTGCTTTTTGCCAAATTTCGTTATTCTAGGTCTAACAGGAACTAGCATATAGGTTTTTAATTCAAAACCGATAGGGTACTTCCGGTTGACCTTGATTTGTAGATTTTGGTTAGGTTTGATTTAATTGTCAATTACACCTAATGAATGGGGACTATATACCTCAATATTTGATTATGAATTTCAAGTAGCTAGGTCCACCCGTTCCTGAGAAAATCGGTGGTGATTATTTATTAATTTTATCATGGCGGTATAATAGGTAGGTACGGAACCCTCGGCGGACGAGTACGACTCGCACTTGAGCGGTTTTTTTTGTATGAGAGAAGAAAAAAACCGCTCAAGTGCGCGGTTTTTTTTGTATGAGAGATTTTATATGAAGAGAGTAATCTTATAAGGGTACCTTTTTTACCTTTAAGGTACGGAACCTAAAAACCGCACACAATTTTCGAAGATATAAACATCTTTTGACTCTATTATGCATGATATTGCATGCTGAAGTCAGCCGAATATGTGCACCAAATTATTATTTATAATTAAGATCAAAATGTACTACCATATTCTGGCAATAAAGACATTCATTCATTCTACTATTAAGTAATAATTGAAAATCACATAGACAAACTAGGCTTACCTGTGACGCAAGCTTTAAACTGGCTTCTGTATTGTTGCTAGAATAAATTAACCAGCCGGCTGAACAAAACTGTAACTCACTGAAGTCAATGAGCAGTCTCCCGTAGCCCTGGCGCTGATACGGCGGCAGGGTCAGGATACAGGAGACGTTGTAGTTCAGGAACGAGTTCTTCTCCTGCGCAATAGAAAAGGTACAATTTCAAGTAATGCGGCTTAGCTAATGTTCAGAAGGGTCTGTCCCTGGACAGTTGCAGACAAGAAATCTCTTCACACGATGGTATTTTTTTATTTTAATAAAACACGACTGTAGATCCGAGTCCGTGGTGTTTTATTTTTATTTTCAAAGCTTCCCTTATATGAATAGGTGGCATGAAGTGGTGGTGAGCACTTAATGTAATGCGAATACCGCAATATTATTGAAAATTGACATCGGGAACACCCAGCATCAGTGGTGATGCCGATGTTTTAGGAAATGGACCCTGGAACCACGTCCAAGCCAAAAAAAAGTTAAGTAAAGTAACAGCCTGTAAATGTCCTACTGCTGGCCTCCTCTGTAGAGGGTATCAGGGCATCGTCTACTGCGAATTGGCGGACTTCACATATTTTCGAAATTTTCTTTGTGTTATTATTTCGAAAATATCCAGGTTTCCTTACGACTTCATCCACACCTCCTCGAAATTCAGCGTTCCACAACAGCGCGATGTTCAAGGCGTTTCCTGCCTCACACAACCACTCAGTGGAACCAACTGCCGCCGGCGGACTTTCCGAAACGTCACGACCTGGATACCTTCGAGAGAGCATACTCTTCCCTAAAAGACCGGCAACGCATTCTAAACAATCGGGTGTTGGAGGTGCTCATGGGCGGCGGTAAACACTTACCATCAGGCGAGTCTCCGGCTCTTCACACCTTCTCACATAAAAAAAACATAGCACCGTGGTACAATTTAACATACACAACAAATATGGCTGTTCACTTGCGAATGAAGCCCTTATTAATATGTGCAGCGCCTTTCATACAGTACACAGATTTGCAGACAAAGAGCAGACGGATCAATAACGGCGTGCAACTAATGATCGAGTGCAAGAGTTTGTCGTACACTGAAACAAATCGTTAGTAAAGGAATATAAGAATGCTTCCTGCCCAATGATATTGAATTATATTTTAATTTTTCGGGGAAAACATTACCAAAAAGAGTACCTACGGAGGAGTTTCTTTCGCTTGTCTCTTCTCCTGCTCTCTTAGCCTGTTAGAGGACCTCATTACGAAACGGTGGTCGATTTAAAAAAAACAATAACTATGTAAACATGACTTTTTTTGTTCATTTTAATTTTAAAGTACGTAGTTATACTAACTGTTATGGCTCTACAAGTTATGAGGCGAGACCAATACTTGTACCTCATGCTATACGTCTCTATTCTATCTTTTTGATCTTTTGCCTTACCCATTAGGGTATTCTATATAGCCTCGAAAGTATTGTTCGTACAGTATACAAAGCGTTCCTCCTGAGGTATCTTAAGATCGTATTCCTGTCCCCATTTCTATATAAACATAATTTCTATGGTCCATATTACATTTTTAAAATTTTCTAGTAAGTAGTAGTGGTAGTAGTAGTTCTTCTAGTAGTAATCTAAAAGTTATTAACTATTATTCTTGTAAATTATAAAAAATAGTCTTTAGGTTGATGAGGGTCCGTAGAACAAAATTTAGTAACACAACTACTAATATATACAGCTATTTGTTATCCTGGATTCACTACTAATAATCAGGTAATATGTACCGGAAAACAGATGCGTCATTCCGACAAATCCGGTCCCAGGATGGTATTGTATACCTAAGATTTTTGTTTGTATAATAAGACTAAGACGGAAATAATTCGGCTGAGTAATGTTTAAATTTTAGCAGTATCATTATGTGATGCAGTTTCAATTCGAATTTTATACGAAATTTTGTGTACGAAATCTCTTTTCCAAAACTGACCTGTCGACCGCATTCAAGATTTTTCACGGCATTAGAATGCAACATCCAACATAGGTCCATAATCACAAAAAAAGCTTAAATAACAAGAAAAAAAAATACATACAGTCGAACATAATATTATAACCATCTCCATTTTTGAACCTAGAGGCTTAGACATTTTTCCAATGTATTAGATTGGAGCAACAACCTTTTGCATTCAATTTCTTCCACGGATAACAGAGCTTTAGACACAATGGCAAAAATCACAAAACTGTATCATATATTGTTTGTAAAAATAGAGAAATGCTTTCATCGCTTCAGTATTCAAACTAAGTTTACCTAAATATTTAGGGCTTCTTAACAAATTGACTCATTTAATCATCAATGAAACTGTTAAAAGGCGCAGATTTTTTCTGTGGTAGGGCCAGTCTTCTATGTTGCACGAATGGGCAAGTCTATCCGGGGAAGTACCACGACCTCGCAGAAGAGCAATGTTAAGTGGAAAGTGTCTTGTGAGTGAAGTGGCCGGTGTCCACTTTAATAGATGATAGAAGCAAATCCGTAACCATAGGGTGTTGCTGACGTCAATGGGCGGCGGTTATCACTAAACATCAGTTCTACCTCAAGCTCGTTTGCCACCTTCTCACATAAAAAAATGTGCGTTTGTTCAACGGTTTACAACTGAAAGATTGGAGGCCGGATTTTTTCCACTGTCAATTAGAGGCCGAAAGGCCGCGGGCCTGACAGTGCGTCGGTCGACACTCGACTTTTCAATTTCGGCACAAAAGCGCACTCCGCCCCATGGGGTCGCCGGTTTAATGAAGGCCCTCGGAATGAACCGTATGGATTTATTGCGTTACAGCCACCGAACACGCTGTCTAGACGTCTGCGCCCGTGTTTACGTCCGTAAATTGTCACGGGGGGTGGGAACTCATACCCGATGTCACGTGTAGCGACCGACGATTTGTTTACATGATCTAACCGAATGATGATGAACATATAAACAAATGTCGCGTTATTATAAACATCGGGTTTTGTTAGTGGTACTGTACGTTCTTTTGGGGTTGTGATTCTCTAAAGTAGATTTTACTTAGACTATAAAAGAGTTGTTATTCGAGTGCTTTATTTAAGAAGTAGTAGTTCAAAGTCTAAATAACTGATTGTTAATGTAATTTTGATTATTTAAATAACTAAACTTCAACACATTTAATAACAACATTGCAAAAGTGTGATGAAGAGTTAACTAAATTAAGCAGTTTTATAAGAAAAGTTTCATCTTCCCAAAGTTGAAAATAAAGACTGATAAACAAGGAAGATTCGGGTTTCAATTTATAACACGTTTATTTTTGTTACCCGACTGCCGAGGAGAGTAATTTTTTTCGAGTGTATGCATGTATTGTCTAACTCTTTGACATGCTCCACAGCCTTAACATTTTAATGGATCATCTTTTGCTGGAGATACGTCTCAGCTGTGGGCTATATATAACGCAGTCGCGTTTTTGTTCCAATTATAAACCTTGCTTATAAAATAACTCCATTACATACAAATGAAACGTATCCCATAATCAGCACGGAATCCTAAAACGTTTCGAGAGTGGTGGTCACGCGTTACACCGTCACCTACATGTGCGACCATAGACTAGGTATCCACATCGCACGCTCTATCCTTACCATACAATTACCTGACCAACAACGTAGCGCCGATAGTGATGTTTCGGAGTCGAGTGTGCATTTTAATAGATCGGGGTAGCCCCCCCCCCCCCCCTTCACCCAGCGTGCGGTTCGACGACCCCCCGCCGCAGACGGCGGGGGCCCTAGCCCGGATTTGAGGGCAGCAAGTTGCGAAGTTCCATGGAAAACGCGCACCGTCGCTCGCACAGACGTCTGGCGCGCTGTGTGCGACTCACGATAATTTCGTTCGAGACCCGCGGAGGGCGAGAGAGGTCTCGTCTCAGACGCAAACGGATTCGAATTGAAAAGGGCTCTTGTATTGGGTTTAATATACGTTGGTACTTCACCTGTTACTATGATCTATGTGAATCTATTAAATATGTATTGTTTACGTTACTTTTAAAAATATTTGTAAATGAAGATAATTGGTCTTCATTAAATATGGATTATGTGTAATATAATCTGTAGCAGTTTTAAGAATTAGTGTATTTAAACTTAGTGTTAATTATTATGATATTAAAACAAGTTATTTTAAATACAATGACACTATTACTTAAACCTGACACACGTACTTAACCGGATACAGATAACATACCGCAGATAATATTACACATAATCCATATTTAATGAAGACCAATGATTTTCGTTTACATATTTATAACACCCAACACATAAAGAACGAGAATTCCGCATTGAGAAATTGCAATATTTTAATATATAATGCCTAATCTTTCTTCACACTTGAAGATTGAGCAGAAATTCCCTTAAATGTAGGCTAGGATGCAAGAGTTCTAGAAGAGACAATTTTTGCCGATGCCGGTATAATACTTTTGCCGAGACAACTCATTTGAAAGAGCTAGTGCAAAGTTGTAATCCTGTCTGTTGTTGTGCTTGCTGGTGTTGACACCCAGAAACACCGTGTGACGATAGCATTTCATATTCATGAGATTATTGTATTATTGTGCGTCCATAATCACTACACGGTACAAAACAAAGTCGTCACGATGTCTGTCTGTGCATATGTATGCTTAGATCTAATACTAGTTTCATCCCACAATATTTTTCCAGTAGTGGGAATCGAATCCACACCCTCTGGCCCAGGAGGTACACTACTCACTACGCCATTCGGGTCTTATTGCTTGTTGTTTTTATTTCTCTTACTTTTTCATACATTTTTTGGATATTCAGACAAATGAACGATTTATTCTTATCATTAACACTGCTTGTAATAATACCTATGAACAATTTGAGGTATTTTAAAGTGCAGGCTAATATTGCAGTAACATCCGGACAATACAGGAACAAACGTAGACGGAGGGAGCGGCCTGTGCAAAAACTTTCGAGACACATCTCAGTTTTCGCGAGTTTAAAGCACGGCAAGAATTGTAAAGTATACATAAATTTAGAGACGGTAGTCCGGCGAGACGTCTGGGGTCAACGACCGCGCAACCCCACACCCGGATATGCCCGCTGCGCTTGTGTTGCTGAAGTTTAAATTAACCGCCCTTTAAATTTTTCTATTTGAATTCGATAGTCAATTATCTTCA